GAATTCAGTATCATATTTCTAGGTTTGCAGCAGAAACAATCAAGCAAATATATCATGCTTGTTTTTCTTTTTCTTATTTTACAAAGAGTTTTATGTTTTGAGTGTTTTGACTATATTGTGAATATAAAAAAAAACTAGCCACACACACACACACACACACACACATATATATATATATATATATATATATATATATATATATATATATATATGTGTGTGTGTGTGTGTGTGTAGTCCTACATTTGCGCGGTCCTGCTGTAATCCTCGTGTGTCCTCCATGATCCAGACTGTAAACACAAACAGATGGAGAGAATGAGCTGTTTAGTTTCCCCCTCAGCTAATAAGCTAAAGCTAGCACTGAGCTTTGGAGCTACACGCTCCAAACTCTTGAGCTAAAACACACAACACTTGTTGGTTGAGCTGGGATGCACAATGAATGTAACACAGTGCGTTCTTTTCCTCTGCTGTTGGTGAAGCGAGCGCAGATACTGCTCATGTTGATGGAGACACCCTGCTGCAACATTCATTTATTACAGTGATCACACTTAGCTTTGCCATCGTTCTTCAGCACATGCAGCCTTTGAGCACATGTTGCAGTCCATCTCTAAACTACAGTAGGTGAGAGTTCAAAGTGGCTATTAACGCTGCAGCATGTACCGCCGCCGTTTGAAATAGGTGCCGCTCTGTTTTTAGTGTATGACCGTGTGATACACCATTGTGTATCCACAGTAGTAATGTTTGTTTTGTCATTAATGTATCTATTTATTTATGTATATACTGTAAAAGTCATTTATTATCACTACTAATGACTGGGTTTAAAACAAAATAACATCAACAGTTGAGAAAGCATGCGCTGTGGGTTACCATGGCGATACTTGTTGTGTTTACTTCAGATGCTACTAAGCTGCTCCTGAGGAAAGTCACTGAAGTTTTCTTGTGATTTTGTTTCTCCTGATAATTCAGGTATGTTTCATAAAAAAGTCAATATGTTTATTATAATTCATGTAAAAACATATGAGTACACATTTCCTATGTGTTTTTTTTAAAGTGAATAGCATATTTACAGTTGTTAATTGAGAGGAGTGATTCAGATGAAAGTACCAGTAAAATGACAGTTGGGGTGAGTTTATAACTGACTTCCCAGTAAATGATATGTATTATACTCAGTATGTGATAATTAAACAGAAAGTGACTTTTTATTTGTATATATTAGTGGTGTAGGAACTCATCGGCATTTTTTCAGTGGTCAACACAAGTTGAATCTGAAATCTTGGGCATCTCCAATGGTCTCATTCATTGAACTAGCTTGAGGGCTTATACCATCAGGATAACAGAGCGCCAATTGATTTCGGGCTCCTCTGACCAGTACTTCTCCGCAGATGTTCTAGTACCCTTCGGCTAACTAGCCAATGATTAATTAAATCAGTTAAATTAAAAACAATGGCCCTTACAGGATCTTCAGCGGAAACCATTTCACGAGACTTTTAATTGACTCCTGGTCATGTGCTCGCCTTGGGCACATCCTGCTAGAAGCACAATTTCGTAGAGACAAAGAGATCTCTAGAAACATTAATGCATATGAATAAAAGCTAATCTCTTAATGTTAGAACTAAGGCAGATGTATCTTTGAATAATATGCCATAATATTCCTCATATGCTGTTTATTCCATTCAACTAGGTTAATCAATGTGTTGTTTTAACACTTATAACAGAGTAAAATGTTCTGTATGTGTCTGAAATGTATGATGTCTGGTATTGAACGAAAGCTAGTGACATTTGCAATATGTTGGTGTAAATGAAAAACTAGTAGTACAAACAGTATTCAACTTGTAACGTTTGATGTAAGATAGTTTCAATCTTGCAAGAGTTCTACCACGTGAAATCTACATGCAGTCTGTTAATTATTGACCTTTCCTACGTCAGTACGGGGCGTGGCCCCGCCCTTCATGGCAACTGCTCATTGGCAGACAGTGCCATGGGGACGAACCAGACCAGGTCACTTAAAAACGCCCTGCAACAAAGAAACTTTGCTTTTTGCATCAGCTAGCTTGCGCATGCTTTTGCTCTCTGCCCCCTTTCGCCTGCCCGGACACCGCGCCGCCACGCGATTGGGTCACTACGAACTTCCACGCAAACCTCTTAAGTTTCGGGACTCCCGAAGCTGCATGAACTTCCGCAAACCAACTCTCAGCAGTCTGTCACCTCGGTAACCCAGGACAACAGCCATTCACGAGCGCGTGAATCCCAAAGACGTCATCAAAGCGAGAAACCACCCAATCAGGAGCACCGTGTTTCCCCAAGGCCAGCCGGCGAGGGAGATTCAACTTCAGCAAAAAGGGCGCAAGTAACACAAACTAATGTTGTCTCTTGCTGATCTTGTGCAGATTGATCTTAAGCAGTTAAAGATAAGCCATATCTCTGCTTTTGTGGTTTCTCAGGTGTTATTCTAAGATCTTGCAAGAAGTATTAGAATTAATTTGGGACGTTGTCAACTCATTTTGCATCCTCTGAACTGCCTATGTGTGTATGTGTGAATGTGTGTGTTTGTTTGTTGTTTGCTTATTACGTAGTTAGTTTCATTTATCGTAGTGTAGCTCAATAAATCTTTGTACTCATTTTGTAAGAACTGTGTTCTTGTTTATGTGCTTCTAAGTCATTGCCTCGAGCTGCAGATCTTGTTACCTTGCTAAAAGTTAACCCAATACTGTGTTATGTTATTATCGTTGGCCACGTAAATAATATTAACAAGATTGGTAAGATACGATGTCTTCTATTTGCGGGACAAATGGTAGATAAAGTGTGAATCTTTTAATCTGATTCAATCAGACTCAATTGAGTCGAATCAATGATTCGAATCTTCAGGATCCGATTCATTGAAATGAGCTAATAAACCCCTGATCGATATTAAACGTAGGTTGATCCCCTACATATTAATGGTGGAGAATTTTTAGGCACAGCACGATCTGACTTTTAAGCACAAAAACATTGTTTATCTTTTCTATTTTGTCCGGAAGAATAGATCAGAGACAGAGAAACAAAGTTGTTGTGTTACTGTATAATTTATTGTGGTACCCAGTGTGTTTAAACGCATGAATGCGCAACTCGAGTGCTTCTGAGAAAGCGAACTGCAGTAAATAGTTATTTGTCCACGAGACAAAAACGATACGTCGCTGTAAAGCGCACGGATTGAGAAACAATAAGTGTGTTCCTTATTCTTTCTCCTATAAGGCCTTCACAGTTGATTTAAAGGTGCGTGTCCCAGCTTTAAAGACTAACTGTGCATTTCTCCCTGGTCAAATTAAGCACAGGGTAGCTAACTGTCTTTTTGCCATCTAATTCACTAGCATCAGAGTTAGTGAACTCAGCGCGCCGCGCTCGAGAGAGCGGCAGAGCGTATTCTCACGGGAGAACTTATCTTGATCAAGTAAAGTGTGCGTGATTGAATCCACGCGTGTCTTTGACTGTGAATAGTCTTGACACAGAGCGCTAGGATCCGCCGAGATCTTAATAGTGCTATATTATGTTGAGCAGTGTGAAATGCGCCGCCATTTCATGTAATGCATGTATGTTTGTGGGCATAACCGCATATTGGTTCATTCTGTGTACGTCGTCATAGTAACAGCCTCCCGAAAGTCCTGGAAGACTTTTCAGAGTACTCTCAAGTGCGCATGCGCAGTCCTCCGCGCTTGCATCGGCTGTAGACATTAGCACAAGGCTAAGCTAACTGAAGCTCACGCTGTTGCAGTGAAGTGTGTGGTATGGCTATGCCATTATAGCATTAAAGGCTAGTGTAGTAGCGCTCTTCTTGTGGTCTTGAATGCAGTGTGTTAAGTTGAAGTGACAACCTAATTCACGCTAGCGAGATTTTGAATCTTGATTTCTCACTCTTTATATTTGCCTTATTTCTCATTTTTCTCCCTTTCTTGGAAAAGGCTTTGACTAATGCAGATTTAGTAAACCCCATTGTACGCGATCTCATCGCTGGTTTAATCACATTTGTCAAATGCTTTTCCTGTTTAACCTGGCCTGTTTTATTAATTCAAATGCTCATAAGTTGTTGGTTTATTAGCAATGAATTATAGTTTATGACTATAACATAATGCTTTTGATTGCTCAATCAAATGAATGCTTAATTAAAGATTAATGCTTTGCTCTTCTGAAACTTATCAACATTATAGGAACAACCATTTTCTATGACTGTTGATATTTGAAGTTGATTTATAAGCACAGTGTTTACGGATTAATCAAATTATAACATTTATTGTACTAGGACTTTACAAACACAATCACTATTCTGAAATTTTTATTTCATTAAATAGTTCATTGATGCTTGGCTGCCCTATCTCAATAACAGTTATTGATTAATTTTAAATAAACACTTTTGATCAAATTTAATGACATCAGGAATACCACGCATTCCCTATCATCATTGATTTTGAAATTGATTTGTTCTCATAACTGATTTGCAGGAATGCTTACTGATTAATTAAATCATAATTGTGTTTATGACTTTAATGACAACCTCACTGAGTGTTAGTCTCAACCAACATTATTACTATTTGAAAATTTTAATTTCATTAATAGTTAATTGGTGTTTGGTTTCCCTTTTCTATTACAATTATTGATTTATTTAATTATAGCAACTCTTAATCAAGGTTATTGATAAAAATCATATTTCTGAATCGTTTCATGTCATTACTAATTTGAATTAGTTTTAAATTAATTTGCAATCAAGTTTTTTTTATTATCCTTCAGGTATTAAATTGCCTCACAGGACAGTGCTCCCCCTGGTGTCTGGTTGATGCAATGAGACAGTGTTGCCTGTAGGTGGCTACAACTGAACTCAAGTCATCGTTAAACCTAGCATACCAGAGCAGTAGCCTTCGATTAGCCAAACACAGAAGGAAATATAGGATTTTCCTGTCTACTTAGGCTAATTAGTTATCTTGATAACACAATAAACCAACCCCTTTTGATGTATTGACTCAACAGTGCCACCACTTTGTCAACTTTGTAATTTGAAAACTTGCTTCACTTTCTATTGTTTCTTTTAATTGTCTTCTTCCGAGTTGACTACCGCTGCCATTTTGAGATTGTACCTGTGTGAATCATGAAAGCAGAGAATGTTAGAAACATTTAACAGATGTTGTGAAACTTAAACATTTCATGTTATAATTATCTGACTCTCTACCCTTTCTCGCCATAGGACGCTACCTGATTAAGGACGAAACGAGTCAACCAGAAGACAGGTGTTTTAAAATTTGATTTTAGATCCGCATCAAAAGTGGTCTACTTGGTGTATGGTGTCAATCCTAATGAGTAAGAAACCAATACTGTCATTGTTATTGTACTTTTTTTCACAGCGGAGGAAATTTAATAACAATTACAGTCCTGGTGTTTAGAGCTCCCTATCTCCAACTTCCAGCAGAGAAGCATCCTTTCACCTCATGCTTGACAAAGCTAAAGGAATCGTTCTCACTAGGAACCTGGAAGCAGCCAATTATCACTCTTCTCCTTATCAGTCTTCTTCTCTTTCTCTGTTCTCTAGCTGTCCTAACTGTGTGTGTTTACTGACTGTCCCCACGGAGACTACAAGTTAGATGCACACCCCCTAGAGGATCACAGTCACAGAGAATAACACCCATCTGTTTATTCGTCACTCAACAGTAGCTCACACCTGACATTACACCCTGACACTTTTTGTTTGCCATTTGTTTTTGTTTTCTTTTGTTCTTTTCTCTCTCTCTCTCCCCTAGGTCTGTATCAGTGTCGGTTATAGGTCTTCCCCCTCACCGCCGCAAACATGGCTCGCCCTAAAGACCCTGTTGGCCACTGGAAGGACCTAGAAGCATGGCTAAGTGTTGCAATGGATAGCCTCCTCCCTAAGGCCGCCGAAACGCTACAGCATCTGACACAGGACCAGCTGGATGAGAACCTGAACAGCCTTATGAAGCAAGACCCGAGCAAAAGCTACAATCACAAAGACCTAGCCAAGATCACAGGTACTTTGAGTCACGTCCTCATCGCCACCCTTAAGTTGAGTGACAGGCATTCTGCCCAGCTCCAGCACAAGCTGACACATGTGCAGTCCCGCATCAACCAGCTAGAACTGGAGGCTCAGGAACGACCGGAACAGCCAGATGAGACTGATCAAACTGCCAAAGAGGAGATCGATAAACTTCAAGAGACTGAAGCCGCCACCACCCAAGAAATGGAGCAAGCCAAAGCCGAACATGCTGACGTCGCTAACAAGCTTGAGTATGTCGAACAGCTACTGGAAGAGGTAAATGCTGACTCTAAAGACAAGGACAGCAGAATCAAAGCCCTCGAAACTCACCTGAGTGAAGCTAGACATGAGGTCAGACGACTAACGCAGCAGCTGGACTACATCAAAGAAGAGTCCAACAGCATTAAAGATGAACTCAAGCATGCAAATGAACTGACACACAATGAGAAAGCTGAGGGGTCACTGCCAAAACCCTCACCATCTCCTTCTGTTCCAGACAGCCACGTATCACTATGTGGCCTGGACCTCAGAGACCTTGACAAGCTAGTCAAGAACCTGGGCAAGTTCACGCCGAATTTGCCAGGTAGCCAAGATGTTCACGCCTATCTGCAAGACATTGACTTTCACCTGGAAATGAGACCCAATGTCACTGACAAAGATAGACTGTATTTGCTCCGAGCAACCTCCAGCCCTGAAGTGCGCAGCTTCCTGGACCGTCAGCCGGCTCACACAAAGACTGACTACCTCCTGCTCCGAGAAGCCCTCATCAGAGAGTTTGATGACATCGAGTCTGAACAAGAACTTGTAGCTGCCCTGGAGACGAAACAAGGTCGCCATGAGTCTTCTCTGAACTGCCTCTGTGTGTATGTGTGAATGTGTGTGTTTGTTTGTTGTTTGCTTATTACGTAGTTAGTTTCATTTTTCGTGGTGTAGCTCAATAAATCTTTGTACTCATTTTGTAAGAACTGTGTTCTTGTTTATGTGCTTCTAAGTCATTGCCTCGAGCTGTAGATCTTGTTACCTTGCTAAAAGTTAACCCAATACTGTGTTATGTTATGATCGTTGGCCACGTAAATATTATAAACAAGATTGGTAAGATACGATGTCTTCTATTTGCGGGACAAATGGTAGATAAAGTGTGAATCTTTTGATCTGATTCAATCTGACTCATTTGAGTCAAAACAATGATTTGAATCTTCAGGATCCGATTCATTGAAATGAGCTATTTAATCCCTGATCGATATTAAAACGTAGGTTGATCCCCTACACAAGTCTGTTTGCTCAAGCAGAGAGATCATTCTCAAGCATCCTAAAAGGACTGCCTGGCAGCGGAGGGATTAGAACCCATGCCCCAGAAGAGACTGGAGCCAAAAACCAGCGCCTTAGAACCCTTGGCAATGCTATCCCAGATGACTCCATGCAGTGGTCCCTTTTCTGCCCAATTTAACGGAAGCAGAGAGGACGCCGAGCTTCCTAGTGAAGCTCTTATACTTTGGCCAAGGAGTCTACGTTTGGATGTGAGCGGAAGCATGCAGTATCACTTTGCAAGTCTGTTTGCTCAAGCAGAGAGGTCATCTCAAGCATCCTAAAAGGACTGCCTGGCAGCGATGGGATTTGAACCCACGCCCCCGAAACGACTGGAGCCTTAATCCAGCGCCTTAGACCACTCGGCCACGCTACCTTGTCAAGCTGCTTTCCCTGAGCAGTTTTCGCACCAACATCTTGCTGGAGCTCCTCCACAAAGAAAGAGAGCTCCTTAATACCAGCTTAGGAAGCACTCCCACCTTCCTGTCAACCATAGTTCTTTCTCTATTTGAGCACCCCTGAAGGCATTTAAAGTCTACTCCAAACGGCAGCCAGCTGCAATGCATTTAAGCACCTGATTACAAGGTAACTGTTATTTCACAAACGAGTGAAATTACTCATTCCATCACAGCAGACCCCACATTGTTGTTATTATATTAAAATCCAGTTTTAGAGTATTACTACTTTAATTGTGAATCTTTACTGTTCCTGTTTCAATAGGGCTCTTGCTAAAATGTGCAATGGCAGAGAGAGACTTCCAGTGCAGACTTTGTTAAGATGCTGCAATCTAATCGTGGGTGTTATGGCCCAAACTCTAATCTGGCTCGAATAACAACAACAATCAAGGTTTGAGCCGAACATATGAAAGACACAGAAGTTTGAAATGGTTACATTGACGTTCCGTCAATACGTTTTATTTTTCCATAAATCATAAGTTTTCAAAAATTGACAAAACATTAACAAAAATCAAGTAGACAGGTAGGGAAGCTAAGGTAAACAGGTCTCTGACTAAACTGTTTTAAATGGACAGATCTTACCTAAACTCCCGTGAAAAGGAATAAAAATATGGTGAGTCTTCCGGGCCACTGCTTACCTTCGCTAAACTAAATAAATAACAGAACGTGACTATGAAAAATAAACCCCTACCTGCTACAAAACAAAGTATCAAAATAAACAAACTAGTTAACACATTACAAACTAAGAATCAAAAGATGAACAGGAGCAAAACATTAAATGGAGCAGCATCTAGATGAATGATCGCTGGGCTTGCGGAGCACCGCCAGTCAGACCGCCTGAGCGCAAGCCACCACCGAGCTGAGGGAGGGCGAGAGACTGCAAGACAGAGAGAGACAGAGATGCCATCGCTGTCAGCCTTATATAGTGGGAATCCCCAGTGACGTCACGGGCATCATCCAATCCTGGATAAGCCGGGTAGAAACACTCATCCTAGTACTTGATTGCAACAACCACAAACCGGGAATAAATAGATTAATTAAATAACACAGACCTACATAACACCCTTCACCTTAAGTGAATAAATTGTAGGGAAGAAAAAACATACCTGAAACAAAAACTACAATTTATTCTATCAGACAGGTGATAAAGCGTCCGCAATAACATTATCCTTTCCACGGATGTGTCGAATGTCTAGTTGAAATGTTTGTAAAAACAAACTCCACCTCATCAATTGCTGGTTGTGGTTTTTCATCCGACTAATGAAAAGTAAGGGGTTGTGATCTGTGTAAACAGTTAAAGGATACGAAACAGAACCAATATAAACATCAAAATGTTGGAGAGCAAGGACAAGTGCGAGCGCCTCCTTTTCAATGGTTGAGTAACCTCGCTGATGTTTATTAAATTTCCGCAAGAAGAAACAGACAGGGTGTTCGATTCCATTAATATCTGTCTGGAGGAGAACAGCACCTGCACCAGTGTCACTTGCATCAACAGCAAGAATAAGGGAGAAGAAAAATCGGGAGAACTAATCAAAATGGCTTTTATTTTCTCATAACTCATCTGACATTCCTCAGACCATTTGAATGGTATTTTTGGACTGAGAAGGTCAGTTAAGGGACAAGCAACTACAGTAACATTTCTACAAAAATTTCTATAGTATTCAACCATCCCTAAAAAGCGACGGAGTTCACGGCGCGTAGTGGGCACTGGAAAATTAAGAATTGCCTCCACCTTTGACTCGACCGGACGATTTGTCCAATACCCACAACTTTCCCAAGATAAGTCACAGTTGCTCGACCAAATTCACACTTTGCCAAATTGATAGTGAGATTGGCACTCGACAGACGGTTGAATAAGGTCTCTAGTTGTTTTATATGCTCAGACCAAGACGTGCTATAAATAACCAAGTCATCCAAATACGCTTTGATGTTCTGCAAGCCTTCAATTACGCGGTTTACTAAACGTTGGAAAGTGGCCGGTGCGTTTCGAAGGCCGAAAGCCATTACGGTGTAATTTAGAAAACGATCCGGTGTAACGAACGCAGATATTTCCTTAGCAAGGTCACTAAGGCCCACCTGCCAATAACCTCGGAGCAGATCAATTTTTGAAACAAAAACCGCATTCCCAACGCGATCCATGCAATCCTCCATACGAGGTAACGGATAACTATCAGGCTTAGTGAGATCTTTTACACTTCTAAAATCAGTGTAAAATCGAAATGTGTTGTCAGATTTCTTTACAAGCAAACAGGGTGAACTCCATGGACTAGAGCTTGGTTCAGCGATGTTATTTTCGAGCATGAAATTCACCTCTTATTGCATCTGTTCTCGCTTTTCTGGACTTACATGATAAGCATGCTGTTTTATTGGTAACGCGTCACCCACATCAATATCATGCTCAATTAAAGACGTACGGGTAGAAACATCCGAGAATAACTCAAGATGATTTTCAGTAAGACCAACCACATCCGATCGTTCAACAACTGTTAAATAGGAAAGATAAAAGTCAAGGTTTTGGACAATCTCAGAATTTTTTTGTCTTCCCGCCACTAACTCAGGAGCAGGAAACTCCACGTCTTCCTCCAACAACACGCCGTCAGCAACAATGGGAGACAAAGGACTGATCAACGGATTAGCACTGGACAGCGCACGGTGATCAGGAATTTCAGCACCGGACAGCGCCTCGTCAGTCAACTGAGTCTCTGTGGGCAACACAGTTAAAACAGCAGCATTCTCTCTAGACACATTTGACGATCGTTCAAAGTAAGGCTTAAGCATGGTTATGTGACACAGCCGAGTTTTTTTCTTTCTGTCAGAAGTAGCAATCACATAGTCAAGTTCACTCACCTTTTCTTTAACTACATACGGGCCATAACAGCGAGCCTGCAATGCAAAACCTGACACTAGCATCTGACATCTGTAAATTTGATGATGATGTTGGATCTGTTCACAGCCCTGCAGTCGATGGTAAAAAGGGAGTAGAGGAAGGGGCTCAGCAGCCCTGTGGTACACTAGTGTTGAGTGTGACGCTGGTGGAGCAGATGTGACCTGATCTAACATTTTGAGGTTTGTTAGTCAGAAAGTCCATAATCCAGTTGCATAGTGATGTGTCGATATCCAGGTCTCTTAGTTTGATCAGTAACTTGGAGGGTATGACAGTGTTGAATGCTGAGCTGAAGTCCACAAACAGCATTCTTGCATAAGTGTTTTTATTGTCCAGGTGTGTGAGTACAGAGTGCAGTGCTATAGAGACTGCATCCTCTGTGCTCCTGTTGCCACGGTAAGCAAACTGATGTGGGTCCAGTGTGGATGGCAGAGAGTCTTTAAGATGTGCCAGGACCAACCGCTCGAAGCAATTCATGATGATGGGTGTGAGTACTACAGGGCGGTAGTCATTCAGGCATGTTGGGTTGGAGTGTTTGAGCACTGGCACAATAGAGGTGGCTTTAAAGCATGTTGGCACAGCTGCTAGGATAAGCGACAGGTTGAAAATGTCTGTGAATACCCCAGCGAGCTGTTCTGCACATGCTTTGAAGACTTGCCCAGGAATACCATCTGGTCCAGCAGGCTTTCGCACATTGATCCGACTCAGTGCGTTGTGTACTTCTGAGGAGGTGAGTGTGATAGGTGAGTGGTCGGTGGAGCAAGTGATCCTGACGTAGGGTTTTTTATTGTCTCTTTCAAAGCAGGCATAAAAGTCATTTAGCTCGTTCAGGAAGGAGACTTCTGTGGGTGTGGACTGGCTGGGTGTGTAGTTGGTGATGGCCTGGATGCCCTGCCACATGCGCCAAGGATTAGAGTTGGAAAAGTGCTCCTCTAGCTTTAGCTTGTAACAGTGCTTGGCCTTTTTGATGCCCCTCGTCAGATTAGCCCCGGAAGTGCTGTAGGCCTGTGCATCGCCTGATCTGAAGGCAGTGTTGCGTGCTTTCAGCAGGAGGAGCACCTCCTTGTTTATCCATGGCTTCTGATTCGGGTATGTAGTGATCTGTTTCTGGGTTATAACAGATATATTCCAGAACAGAGGAAGTGTAACTGTCAATGTCTGTTTGAAAGCCATGTGTGGCCTGGGAAGCAAACATACCCCAGTCTGTGTGTTGAAACCTGTCCTGGAGTGTGGAGTCTACCCCATCTTTGTGTAAACATGG